TCCTGCTTTGTTATGGATTTTTTTTTTTTTTTGTTTTTTTGGAGAACCTTGAATTTGATTAAACTGGCTAAATAATTATATAATTTCTTCTTTTATTAACTTCTTGAAAATCTGTAATCTTGCTGTAGCAACTTCAATGTATTTAATGTTCCATATTTTTTAATTTCTGGTTGCCTTTTTCCCAATAAAGTATAATATTTTCCACTAACTTTTTTAACTGATGGTTGTCACGTTCATGGAAATTTTGTACTTGTGTTGTTACTTGTCACTGTTGAAGCTCTCACATGTCAGTTGGTTCAAATATTATCTGGCTGTCAAAATTTTGAAGTGATCACCAGCAGATCTTTATTAAAAAGTCATGAATGCAACTTGATCTATTGTTTCCTTTACTTAAGGATTTATAGCTATTTAAATGTTCCATTTGACCTTTCAAAGGTGGTTTTTGTGGCAACTGCAAATAGGGCACAGCCTATTCCTCCTCCACTCTTAGACAGGATGGAGGTCATTGAGCTGCCTGGATACACACCTGAAGAAAAGCTTAATATTGCTATGCGACATTTGATTCCACGGGTTTTAGACCAGCATGGGTTGAGTCCTGAGTTTCTCCAAATTCCCGAGGTAGTAAACTTCCATGAGAATCATATATGTATAATTATCTACCCCATGGTTGTATGGTTGAACAAAATTAATTGTTGGCATATTGTGAGAAAATGATGGGATATTCAATAGATTTGTCCGCTGTCTTCTGCTTACATTTTTGTTGAAACTTTTTGGTTAATACTTTAATAGCTATTACATCCCCAAACTGTGAATGATTTCATTTTACTCAGCCCATCAGTATAGCAGCTCTCTAATGGATTTTATTTCAAGTTGTTCTCAATGAAGCTTTAAACCTGAGTTTTGATCTGAATTATATCACTGCATTGCATATATATTTCCAGTTTACAATTTAAACTCATCTTACACACAATTTTATTTTTTGAATCTGTTTTTATCGTGTGGTAGGACTCGGTGAAACTTATTATTCAGAGGTACACTAGGGAGGCTGGTGTCCGTAATCTGGAGAGAAACTTGGCTGCCTTGGCTCGTGCTGCAGCAGTAAGAGTTGCGGAGCAAGAACTAACTGTCCCACTGAACCAAGGTGTTGAAAAGTTGGCTTCACAGCTGCTGGCAAACAGACTTGCTGAGGGAGCTGAAATGGAAATGGAAGTTATTCCAATAGGCGTAAATAATCCTGAGATATCAAACACATTCAGGATTGCCTCACCCTTAATTGTGGATGAGGGTATGCTGGAGAAAATATTGGGGGTAGTGATTCCTTTTACCGATTTGAGGAACTTCTTTTATTTATGTTTTAATCAAGATGCTTTAAAAGCACCTTTATGCGGTGGGAAACTGCTCATATGTACCTTCCAGAATAGACTGTTTGGTCTATTTGAACCTTTATGCTTTCCAAAATAAAAGCTATTCTGTTCGGCTTGATTGTTGCTATAGGCATAAACTTTTTGCTATAATGTGGTTAGCATTATGAGAACAGCAGATTTAGTTTAGTTTACTGGTTTTTAACAGATTCAATGATGTTGATTTGCATTGTGATACAGCCTCCAAGATTTGATGATCGAGAAGCTGCAGACCGTGTTGCAACTCCTGGGGTATCTGTAGGGCTTGTGTGGACCACATTTGGAGGAGAAGTTCAATTTGTGGAGGCTACAGCAATGGTTGGAAAGGGTGAATTACGTCTCACTGGGCAACTTGGTGATGTTATCAAAGAATCAGCACAAATTGCACTGACATGGGTAAATCACTTTCTATTTCTTGTTTTATTTATTTATTTTTCTGATGTGAATGTATTGTCTTTAGTTAAATGTTCAAGGTTATTAACATAAAAAATTGAAAATTCTTCTACAACCCAAATGCCATGTTTCTTATCTTGGAATGAAACTATTTTGTGAAGAATGAAAGCTCTCATCCCACTGAATCGAAGTAAATGAAAGTGAAGTGTTTGTATTGGTTTTCAACTATTTATCATAGATGTTATCAAACTACGGTTAGAAATAGCCACTTTGGTGAAACAAGTGGAAAAGAGTCGTTAAACATTTTATTTATATCTACACAGGTCAGAGCCAGGGCAGCAGATTTTAAGTTGGCAGCTGCTGAGGATCTGAATCTGCTTGAGGGTCGGGATATTCATATACATTTTCCTGCTGGGGCTGTTCCCAAGGATGGACCTTCAGCTGGTGTGACTCTTGTTACAGCTCTTGTTTCACTGCTGGGTCGGAAGAGTGTAAGAGCAGACACGGCAATGACTGGAGAGATGACTTTGAGGGGTCTTGTGCTTCCTGTTGGTGGCGTCAAGGATAAGGTGTCTTTAATCACTTTATACACTAGTGTCTTTTCCATGTGGGTTAAGAGAATAACATTTCCCTCAAAATCAGGGTTATTTAAATCAAATGTTATGCTATCAGATGGAAAGAACAACGAACTGGTGTTCTTAAAATGTTGCATCTGATACACTACCAAAATACAAAGCCAATGATCCATAATGGTCTTCCTCTTTGCTTGTGTAGTGGCATGGATAATAATGTGGTCAATTTATTATAGAAAAAACTTTTGATACTGTTTCTTGAATCTAAAATTTGCAGATATTGGCAGCACATCGCTATGGTATCAAGAGAGTTATATTGCCAGAGAGAAACTTGAAGGACTTAGTTGAAGTACCAACAGCTGTGCTCTCCAGTATGGAGGTAATTTCTTTCATTAAAAATTTGAGGCAACAAATTTCTTAGGGTATTGAGTCCATTGTCCACGTGATAAAGTGATAATCTGCTTCATGGATTCTTGCACTCTCGTTACCCAGATCATACTAGCAAAGCGTGTAGAAGATGTGCTGGAGCAGGCTTTTGAAGGAGGATGCCCTTGGAGACAACACTCAAAATTATGACATCCGTTCAAAGGCATGTTTATCTAACAAATATTTAACTTGACACCACATCTAAAAGCGTCTGAAGTCTCGACGTTTATTGGCTGCCAAGTGCAGCAATGGGCAACAAAGAATATTGTTGTGAACTCAACTGTCAAGGACCAGCAAAGAAAGAGGTTCAGCTGTTTACAACCAACCATCACGATATCGCATCATGATGTCTTCTGTACTTTTGTTGTTAGCCATCGAGTTGGATTGCAGAGCAAGCATCTCTTCATCCCAATTCCTAACAAAGAAAATCGTTAATGAACTCGAAGTGTGTGATTGTTCATTTATTAGGGAATATTTTTGAGCAATAATTAAGGAATGGGTACCATTCAATTAATCAGATTTTTGTGAAAAATAATTGAAAACAGTAATTTACCTCTTTTCTTGTTCAAAATAATTGTTATTTTTTATTTAAAATGTGATATTTCAGTCCTTATTTGTAATTAGTTAAAGAAAATAGGTTTCAATTTGTAATAAGTCTAAAGTTGAAGTCTTTCACTTCATTTAGAATTAGGAACAAATATATAATATTTGTTAATGTGGGGATTACATGCTAATTTAATAAATTGCAATCCTAGTGTTTATTTAAGGAGAATTTAATACTTTTCAGTTGCCAACAATCTGTTAAAAAAATTAATAACAAGTGGTTGGGTGAGAAGTGGGCCAAGTGGGGAGTATTTAAGATCCACTTCCCTACTTGACTGAGACTCTTGACCCATATTACTAAATTGGCTATTTTCATATATTTCGCTTATAGCTAGACCGAAAGAGAAGGAGAAGGATGTGTAGATAGGTTAAGTAGATTGGGAGAATGTTGAAAATCCTATTAGCTCAAGATTTTTGAAGAAAGTGTGTACGTAAGTGTGATTTTTAATTTTAAGTTAAAGTTGTCAAATAAAAATAAAAAGGTAAATAAATTAGACAGAACATTACATATATATATCCAAGAAATTAAGGTGCTGCAGAATAATTTATATAACATAAAGAGAAATAGATACAGAGGCACAAAGAAACAGAAATTTTACAGTTTCATGTATTGAAACTGTAAAATTTCTGTAGTTAGATGAGTTCTAGTTTTAGGACTAATATATTATGTGCATCACATTCTCTGGATTATGTCCTATGTATTTGACTTGAACCCTTCATTATAACTTATTTCTATAAGTTTTACAAACCGAATTAAGCAAACATTGAATCTGTTATGCATGTTTATGTGCTGTAAATGGTTTTTTTGATGCAATTTCCTTAGAACTATGGAGAGTTTGGACCCAACTTAGGCTTGGGGGTTAGAACAGTGAACTAGTGGACCTCTGCGTAGTAGGTATGTGCTATGACTAGCTCTAACACCTAATGTGAGTGCATGCACATTCAGTTAACTCCATAGTTTGTGTTATCACTATTATGATGTGATATGTTTGTGTAATCATTTATGATTGCAATGCCTTAATTTTCTACAATATTCATACAACTAAGAACTAAAGGAATTTTTTTGCACAAGATATTAAAAATTAAATTAACAGCTTAACTTGAGATTAAGAATTATACTTATTGGGCTATGAGCTCATGATGTTATTCCTACCATTACATATAGCAGCAGTGAAGGGTAGCTGTTATTTTTAAGAGTTTTGTAGGTGAAAGCCCTATGCTAACTGTAAGCTATACTGCCAAATTTCAGTAAAGCAAATCTATATCTACTCAAAACTTTCATTTGGCTCTATAACTTAAAATTTACCTATACTGTATTAAGTATGTGAATAATATATAATCTGAATATTTTGATATTATAAATTTTTTTTCTATATTTTTTCTTTACTTAATTATGCAATACATTTCCTACTTGATGGACCTATGATTACTCTAGAGTTGATATTACATAAAATTATTAGTTTTTTTTAATATTTATTATTATTTTTATATTTTAATTTTATAATTATCTGTTAATCTCATTTTTTTTAAAGGTAATATATGTAGATGCAAAAATGCCTCCAAATTTTTAATGTGTCACTGCATCGAGGAAATAGTGTTTTTTCTAGTAAGATCATTGATGTTATTAGAATTTAGATCTTCAATTCAAAAGATCAACAGTCTCTCTCTCTCTCTCTCTCAGAATTAGACACTGTTTTACAAAGGGAGTAGATTAACAGCTCTCTGCCTTTTGCAAATGGCATACTTTACCCACGCAGGCAAACAGACCTGGAGCCTTCTATATGTGAAAATAAATCAATGCATTCTGCTGTAGTTTACAGTAAATAATACACAGCTGAGCTATCTCCATAACTCAATGCTTGTGTCACTATACTTACACAGATGGCAAACGGAATATCTATACTCAATGCTTTGTACAAATTTGAACAAATGTACATGGGAAAACAGCTGCCGAAGCCAAAGCAGAGGGTAAGGCCTTAACTTGATATCTCCTTGGCTTAATAAGTTAATAGAGATGCTTGTGCTATGAACAGGGTTCGTGTGCCCAAAAAGCATCTGGATCTGGACAGTAGAGGGAAAAATCTTGGATTTCCAGATTAGCAATGTGCCAATCAACAAAACGAGCTTGTATTGACTTAAATAGCAGGAGAATTGTTGGCAAGAGCCACCACTGGTCATCCTCCCTGTCGTCAAATGAAATTCACAAGCTATTAAGATGTCTGATCAGACCAAAAAAATCTAGAAAACAATAAGCAGGATATTGTTAATAAAAAAGAAAAAAGAAAAAAGAAAAAGACTCAAAGAAGGGACTTGCAAGAGATTTCATCATAAATTGAATACGTATACAAAGATAACAGTATGGGCATCTTCTGCACTGTACAAATTTCCTTCAATAAATAATCAGACAAGGGCCTGACCTTCTAGTGTTGTCAGGTGGATGGAAAGAGGAAAATCCATAGTGAAAAATGCCACAAAAGAAAGCCACAACCTACAAAAAGCAAAACTGGTCAAATACGTCTAGCAAAGATACTTGGAGCTGGGGGTCTTATCTGCTATCTACTTTAGTATAGACGCTTTATTTGTTTGTTTTGTGTCAGTGCATCTCATATCTTCATCTTTAGGGAATTGCAATCTTTTACCCTTCTTTCAAACTACAAATTATTGAACAAAAAGCATAAAGTAAAAAAGAATAGAGCTTTCTACCAAACATTGCTCTCTTTCCCCGGCCCCCTCCCATCCCCTCCCTCTCCTTCCATGGAAACAAAGGCCAGAAATGATGAAGCAATCTTTATGCTCCATGGTTTCACATTTAATTATTAGGAAATAAGGCAAAATTAACAAGAATCATGACGGGGAAAGAAAAAGGAAATGAACAAAAAGCTAATACAGAGTTTGTTTACTTGAAGGAAAATGAGATAAATGTATCTAACATAACCATTAATTTTTTTCACTAAAAAGAACTGTCAGCAGTTCATCTTGTTTTTCTTTCAGTTCTCTAGACATAAATAACTACCAAGTAAAATTTCCAGTAAAAAATTCTGAAACTCATTCTAAATGTAGGAAGTTGCTGGTTTGGTTGGCATAATCCACAAAAATAAATTTTGTTGCCTAGATAAATTTCATTGAATTAGAAGTTACTGATAAGAAACGTCAATAAGCCTTAAACCTATTTCTTGCTAGCATTAAGAATGAAATAACAACAAACACTGGATAAAAAGTACCAATGCTGTAGTAGACTTACTATATTTGAAAAAGATGTAGCATTCCATAAGGCATAAACACGAGCTAGTGAACTTCTCCGAGGTTCTTTACTAAACAAGGCATTCAAACCCGCTGGGAAGGGTGAAAGAAGTGATAGAGGAAGAATAAGCAGGATTGCAAGGAATGCCCCCAGAGAAATCCAATAGAACTGAAGCAAGGTAAGAAGGGTTACTGAGAGATCTGCCAAGAGCATGATGGTAATCAGGAGCTGAAAGGTATCCTGGAAAACACAAAATTTTCAGCATGAGATAATGAAAATAATGTAATTAATTGGCCAGAGCATAATGGTTATACAAGTAATATCATTCAAGCACCTGACGACCAACAGGTCTGGTATTGTGCAATAAAAGGGAAAATGGAAAAAGAAAATCCCTTTTGAAATCCATAGATCTCAAGGTAGCATCATTAATAAGACATCCATTAATTCCCCCAGTTATCTTTTTACGAGATAAAGCATGGCTTGAATATGGCAAACTTTGCTGGTGCTGCTTAAGGCTTTTTCCTAGAGATGCAGCATCTTTCCTGGAACACAAAAAAATGGGCCCATAAAAATTCACATAACTCAACAAAAAAAGATTTAAATTCCGGCAACCTTATTTCATGCCTTTAGCAGAGTCACAAATTATCTACTTATCAACATAAAATATCCAATCCTTCACCAGTAAGTTTATCCCCTCCCTCCTCCCGCCCAAGAGAGAGAAGGGGATTGGGAGATAATTATGAGTCATTCTGACAAAAGCTATGCTTTAAAGATTGTCTTAGTGGAAAATAATCTTTCAATGAAGACCAAAGTGGGCATCCAACATCATGACTGGTTTTGGTTGTATAGTGATACTTTCTTTTAGTATTAGTTACTATTTTTCACCCTCCAATTGAGTTATCTGCTATTACATTATTTTGACTTCATAGCTTCCTCAGCAAATAGAAATTATATAGATACTTGAGCGATTAAAAGTTCCCAAAGATTACCTTAGACATTCACTGTGGCTTCTATCTACCAAATCAGGATGGTGAACATTATGGATAGTATAGTCACCAACCACTACTAAGATACCAAGTTGATAGTAACCAGAAGCTGTGGCTTGGAACCATCCTAGCTCAATCTTCACACTATGGAACTCAAGTTGGGGATTTCCATGACTATTTATCCAGTTCATAACAGGAACTAGTGCAGAACGTATAGATCCATGTCTCACAGTCCTCAACTGAGCATTCAGACCAGCCACAAAGCGATTCCAAACAGTTGGTGGAATGTGCTGTGGTTAAGATAACATATGTCAATTAGATGAGAATATTAATATTTAACATAAAATATGACAAAGCTACTGAAAAATTGGCAGGCAGCCAGGACACCTGGCCAAGAAGATTAGCCAGCAATGTATCACTGTGAAGATTGTATGGTGACATATAGCTTCCATTACCACCAAATATTATGCACATGGGGAATCTTTTCTGTATATATGATACCATTTCTACTCGCTTTTCATCCCCACCAAGGAAAAAATCAATATATGCAACCATCAAATCAGGAGTTGCCCCAACCTGCATCAAGTAGCACTCATATAAAGATGTGATAAAGAAGAATAGACTATGTTGCTTACTGAATAAAATTTCTTGAGTCATAAATACTGTTAATTCAGCAATGAAGGATAAGATGTCAGTGTGTTTTTTTATAAATCTTCCTCAAGTTTAATCTAAAAAAATGTCTTTAAGTGAATGAAAAAGTCAGACCTTCATCCCTTTATATAGAGCTCGTGATCTGCAAGAACGGAGACATGAATGGTCATATTCAGATTTGACATATTCCTTAAGCCGCTGAATTTTATTTCTCCGACGCCATTGTTTCCAGGACCAGGCAAAAGGATATGCAAGCACTGAAAGTATGCTGTGAACTGAACCCTCCCACCAATCGTAGGCAGCAACTGAGTTGATCTCATCGATGAATCTGTTAAAAGCATCTTCATACCTGAAGATTAAAGAGGCTTGTTCATTAGGTATAAATGTCTTGGCCTTGGGAAAAGAATGGAATATCAGGATACTAACATGACATTTTGCTTCCAATAATGAATGTTGGACATATGCACATTTAATTGGAAGGTTTGATGGCAAAGCACACGTTAGACTAACAAATGGCACAACAGCAAGGTACTAACAGAATTGTCATACCGTAGGAGTAGCCACAAGCATAAGTAAATAGAAAATTTGGTTTGAATGGCCCATCATAAAGAAGCTGGTTTAGTATATAATGAGTCAAGAAATTAGCAGTGCAACCTACTCATGTTACTAGCTTCACAAATTCACCCAAAGTGTCACATTGTTACATGATCATTCTTCAATGAACTTATAATTCAAATTATTTACTCACACAATCTCAATTATTGCATCAGGAGGAGAATAAGGAAGATGCCATGGTTCTCTAAATGTATTAGGACCCATGAAGTACATTCTGTAGACATGGCTCTGACTTTCTTCAGCTCGGGTTCCTTGCACCTAGGTTCCAAGAAAATATATAAAAAAGAAAAGGGAAATGTTATAAGATGGTGCATCCTGACCTCGCCTTATCTTTAACAAAAAGGCCCTTTTTAGTCCCTCTACTTAAAAAAGCCCCTTTTGGGTCCCTAAAATTTGAAATTTGGCCCCTTTTAGTCCCTCCGTTACTTTTTGTACGTGTAGCACATTAGATGATGGAAATTCTAAAGTAGAGAGACGAAAAGGGGACCTAAAAAAGCCCCTTTTGGTCCCTCTACTCTAAAAAAAGCCGCTTTTTAGTCTCTTTGGTTTGGAATTTCCATTATCTAATGTGACACTTACGCAAAAAGACAACGGAGGGACTAAAAAGGGGCAGGATTTTAAACTTTAGAGATCAAAAAGGGGCTTTTTTAAGTAGAGGGACTAAAAAGGGGCTTTTTGTTAAAGTAGAGGGACCAAAAAGGGGTTTTAACCTTAAACAACACAGGATGAGACAAATAAATATTGCTGTCGGTAACTTACCTCTGATAGAGAAAGAAGGTGTGGAGAAAAATGACTACTCTGGCGTCCAATATTTGCACCACAAGAATGTGACTGAACCAGTTTGATTCTTAAAGTACTTAAGAATAAAGCTAGAAGAACCAAAATGCCAGACAGAAGAAGCGCAAAAGGCCAGGGACCTCCAAATGTATAGATCAGCTCCTCAAGAGGCGTATAACAATTTGGCATCCTATACTTTTCTGATATACATTTATAAGGACAAAATAGCTTTCTGACTCCCCCTGCATTAAAATTACATTCCAAATTGAGAAGAAAAAAAACGATATAGAAGATAATTGAAGTACAAGAGGATAGAGTTACAATAACAAAAACACACCTCGTTCATATATGAAAAAAGCTCGATTTGGAAGGTGCTCAAGAGGGCAAGGAGTGCAAAGATCTTCATCAGATCCCTCAACATTTTTGTAAGTGCCAATGGGGCATTCCTGTTAATAAATTCCATTGTCATGTTGTTCAAGGAAACTTAGATTAATTTACAGTTAACAAGTGTCTATGATTTGTAGATTAGACAGGCAGACAGCTTTATAAAAATGTAAAATAATAAAGCGTACATGCACAAAATTTGAACAGTTTTTTTTAAGGAAAAGACATAACATCAATAAGAAGGGCAGATGTTATCCATTTGGAAAAGGAGAAAACCATAGAATTAAATAAAAATGCACCTTGCAAAAAGTACCATAGAGGCCTTCTGGACATTTTTTCCCAGTAACTGTGCCCTCATCCCCAAAAAGTCCACCTTGGTTCCCAGCACCTCCACTGTAGATATCACAATTGAAGTAGTCTGCTGTTATTAAATGAACTATATTTTGAAGAGTTTTTATGCATATATTATAATATCTTAGGAAATTTTCAGAATATTTTATTCAGATTACATTCAATATAGAACAAAGGTTCTCAAGCAACGATTCATAGACTTGCTGGCTTACACATTCAGGGAGACCACATACCATCAAAAAGTGGGAGAACTCCTGGGATAATACAATCATCTTCATAGAAGTTATTCTAGCCAAACTCATGAGGACTACAATTATTTTTGGGCTCCTAACCCCTTTTCTTAACATTGTTCATTTATCAGTCCATTATAAGCTTCAAAAAGTTGATCGATCAGGTCATCCCGTCATGCGCATCCCTCCCTTTTGTTTGAACAAAATTTCAAGATTGTAAAATATCAGTCACAAAAAAGTCACCATCCCTTCTGTTTTTGACCTCTTAATATTTTCCCTTTCTATCAATAATATGTTAAAATTCAAAATATGAAAGATCCAAACTTGCCATTCAGAGCAACTCTGTCTTTATATTTTTTTTTGATCAGCAAAAGATAGTATTATTAAGTTAGAGTACAAGGGGTACTCCTACCCGAACAAAAAGAGTAAATTATAAAGTTAGGGTGGTACAATCAACACTTTCATACAAAAGTTTACCCCAAAATCTACCCCTAAACTCTGTCTTTATATTTAGAAATATTTTTTTAATATAAGGACGTCATCTTAGTCCACAGGGCTTACCCAACCTTTTTTTTTTCCTTTGTTCCATAATTTATAATAAAGGTATTAAAGTACTTCAAAGATTCCCATAACATGATATGATATTAAACCATCTGTAACGTGACACCAAATGTGATGATCATTCCAAGAGTTGTTCCAAACAAAATCTAAACCAAAACCACCCTTATGCAATTTTCCAAAATGAAGAGTATTGTGTGATTTCTGCAATACAATATGTAAATCAGAATATCAAAAATTCAACAAGTATGTTAATTAAAAGACTTCCATGAATTATGCAGAAAATTATGGCATTTGTTGCAATAAAATAACATACCTATTATTAATCAAGCCACTTATGCTAGCAAATGGAACATACTCCTCCCCAATGCCTATATTGGACCAATGGAAATGCACTCTTCCACCTCCACCACCCCCACCTCCACGAGGACCACCACTGCCCCCACTGACAGATAAAGATGAATTCTCTGCCAGCATAAGCTCTTGAAGGAAAAGAAGTACTGTCCCACCAGAACCTCCACCAAGTCCACCAACCAAAGATCCATTACCATTCATGGTTTCTTTACCAAAGCTTTGTCCATCAGCCCTTAAAGATCCATAAATGCCAAGCCTTAACAATGGCCATTGGGTGGAACCCATCACTAATTAAGATAGGAACATGAATTAGTGAAAATGAACAATTCATAATGTCTAGGAATATGAATGAAAAGTGGAGAAAATATTCAGCAAACAAAAAATGGATAACACTAGCAGCAAGATTATTAACTTTCAAAAGTGTTAGCACAGCTTATTACATTCGAAATGCTTAAACCAACAGTTAGTAGCTTTTTGTGTGAATTGACAAAATGGGAAATTACCAATCATTCCCCCTCCAAATACACGGCCATAAGATGAATTGGGGCCCTCAGTTCCACTTCCTAACTCACAGGGAAGATCAGCATCCCCATATTCATCACCACCATTGCTAACCAACCCATTGAAACATCCAGCACCCCCTCGCCCACCATGCCCAGCACCACTACCAGCTCCATTAGAGTAATTTCCCTTTCCAATACCTTTGCTGCAACCTGAAAACAGGGTCATTAAACAATCAGAAATATAAAAGATAATAACTACTCTTCCCAAGAATCAAGCATAATTAGCACTTCAAAGTGGTGAAAAACACAATGGGAATCCACAAAGAAATACTACGAACATTGAATATGACCCCTATTACCTAATTCAGATGCAGTAATCAAACCATCAGCGTCAATGATGACAGTTCTTGCCCTATGAATATGAATTATACTTCCCTTCATAATTCCATTTACAAGAAGGTCCTCAACCCGGCAAATCTACAAAAGGATTAAACAAAGATGAAGATTTAATTAATGCCACGTGAATGATAACATATTAATAGTATAATGCAGCTGAAAATCTCCACATATATTGATGGGCGTCTAAAGATGCTTCAAACACCAATGCTCTCAACTTTTCAAGAAAACCAAACTAGTCACCAAAGGTGACATGCATATTATTTCCAAAGGCATGGAATTCCATTGCATGACCAAAAAAATTCTAATTCAAATATGATTTCCACCTGAAGAGAGAAGGACAGCGTGTAATTAACATGACAATCATCTGGAGGAGTTATCAAATCTATTGGACATGCCTGTGTCTCACAAAGGGGCTTTGTAACCCTACAACATTAGATAAAAATTCAAGGTTATAAAAATATTCCACATTTAATGAATATAAAAAAGTTAAAACAAAACAAACTGAGAATCCATACACACTCCTGCTTGTATCATCATCCAATGGAGCTTGAAGTAGAGAACCAGGTCCAACCTGTGATGTGAGAGGAATAGTAAAACAGGTGTCCAGAAACAAGATAAATGAAGTTCAATGGAAAAGGAAGGGCATAGGAGCAATAGAAGGAAAGAAATAAAAATGAAAATTTCAGACTCAGAAGTACTGGAGATGCAACATTGGCAGAAAAACCATCTGATTGAGCAGCTTCGTCAGTGTTGGTAACAATCATGAACTCTCAGTAATATGTATACTATTTAGTTGATTACCTCAAATTTATATCTGGTTTGTAAATCAAAGTTGGATGTTCAATAGGTGATTATAGAAGAACTGAATAAAAATGACTGGGATTTCTGAAGATTCTTGAATGTATCCATGCAGCCTCTCAAGGTAAATACAAAATATATAAATTATTTGTGTATGTCAGAGAATCACTCCACATATCTCATGCAGTTGTAACCGAATATGCAGATAAATGCTTGAAACATGTACGATTATATATAAATACAGAATGTGAGCACGAGTACAAGGAAATGAGTGATTTGAAGCTTACAGTTATATTATAAAACAAAGACAAGGACAAACGCTGGCCTTTGATTGCATCACCATGGCCAGTCAACTTTAACAGTCCTTGGCCATATACACCCAAGTTTGTGTTTGAACTAATAACAGAATTCTCCTGCAAAGATGAGAACAAGATAAAGGCCTAATTTTTCAAATAAATCAAGAAGATTATGCATGGAGGGAAAGAAAAAAGAATTATATCATCATACCCTTAGAACAACCAGATTCCTTACTTCAAGGACAGATGCAGTTACAACCGTATTTCCAACACCATCTATTAGAATTTTGGAGTTCCACATGAGTAACATTTTGGTATAGACCCTGAATGCACCATATACCTTCAAATTTGAAAGGCGATTATTTAGAGTAGAAAAATGCAACATGGCTTTACAGAGGTTGAATAATGGAATTCAGAATAAATCTTCACTACTAGAGCAACAAAAATGTGGTCATTTGTTCCCATTTTTTACTTAAACCCATTTTTATTTAATTTAATATAAAAAATAAAATTTTGACAACTGGCTGTCAGGTCATTTGGCAAAATTCAACCTATTAAGAATGTTCCATAAGAACATGATTTGCAAGCAAGATGCATATTTTTAGACAGATGAAAAATAAAAAACTGATTTCTGAAATTCTTGAAATAGTGGCTCTAATATAACCTGCCCACAAGAAGATTCTTAGAAGGAAATTTTATTTTATTTTTATTTTGCAGACCAGAAGGAAACGGTTGAGCTAAACCCAAGAACAAATTCTTTCTCAAGGTTCAAATTAAATACAATCTCCTTCATAAATTAATAATGCAAAGAATTTAAAACAAAAAAGAAAAGAAGAAATGATAAAGTGGAAGATTTTATTTTTAAAACGATACAGAGAGGTGTCATAACCAATAACTGGAAGTTGTAGCAGACCTTTATGATGGAATCACTCATTAAAAGCTCTTCTGCAACCAGCTCAAATTCTGATACAGGATATGCTGACAATCCAAAGACAACTGTGCCTCCACGATACAAACTAATTTGGCCTCTCACCTTCACAATTAAATACATGTTAAGCATGAGAAATTGATAGAGCAGCAGATATTTAAGACCTTTCAATTTGGAACTAATTTAAAATGATGGAAAGACATTCATGCTCTTGTCATCCAGACACAAGGAGATAATACAAAATATCAGAAGATCTAAGATAATAAAATTAACAAAAACAATATTGCTATTAACCAATTCCAAATCAGAATGGAATGGACCATCCATTAACTAGGGTAAGCAGTTCCTATACACAGAAATATCTGCTTTCAATTTACCCAATATTGATTGTTGACACCTGCAATTATACAAACAGCATATAGAAAGTGTTCATAGAATTAGAAAGGTGTCTCAGAAACTACAATCAGTCTCCATAACCAATTGAACTACAAACATAAAGTTATAGTCAACTTCATTGGCACATGCTTTCCATGTAAACCCTCACGAAGGGAGAAAGAATTGTTTGTTCTGCTTGCCACACAGATCCATAACCCTCACCTCAGCTCTCCACCATACAAAATCCAACATATTCATGGTTCGCATCACTCCCTACCATTCGGCCAACCCAAGTAGGTTTGAACAACTAAACATTTTAAAACATAAAAGTACAAGGTGCACCTAAGCACCAAAGTTAACGCCTAATGAGCAGATCTGGCTCACATCAAATTGACACATACTCTATATTTGATGACTTATAATCTGTGACACTAGAAAGCAGATAATTGAATCAACATGAAAAGCAATGAATAGATATATAAAATAAAAATTGTCCATGGTCATACTGCTAAATAGCAAATGCACCAAAGGACAAAATGTTGACAGTCTATGTGAACTGCAAAAAGAACAAAAAAGTGATAAATCATGACTAGTATCTTTAAAATAGAAGGAGAAAAAAACCTGAACTCTGCTCCAAAGCAAAGGAACCAAGGCTTTTGCATTATTCTCCACAAAAACATTGGACCAAAGAGGGCTAGTAGGAAAATCAAGCAATGGTGTTTCTGTCTCTGTTGTGACATTATCATTGCCAACTCTTAGACTCAGTAAATATGCATTAAAATATGTACCAGCTGCTCCAGAATTCCCAGGACAACCAATACTGAAACCACCTGTGAGGACATAAGCATAAAATGTAGCTTCATCATCCACTGAAATATTGTGATGTGCCAGTATGCATGAAATAAATGGCCTATAATACAAACAAAAAATAAAATGTGTATGTGTGTGTGTGTGTGTGCAAGTATTAAAAAATTTACACATTTTCATAAGGTTCTTAATTGTTTTCAAACATAAGGACACCCAAAAAGGTCAAATATATGAATTTGGTATTCAAGAGATTTTGGATGTCAGCATTATCAGAAATTTCATCTAAGATTGCTAAAATTTTCAGCCCCATATATTATTTCTTAAATGTGTCTCAAGACACCTGAAAATATCAGTGGAATTGCATAGTCCTCAGTTTCTATATGCCAGCATATTCTTCTCTAAGATTTGTTCTCAGATTTGTTGATAAGAAGCCATTGAAATCTGTGATTCAAGTTCAGACTCTTACACAAGAATGAACTATTGAGCAGTTGAATAATTGTTGCCTACAAGATGCAGATGTGATCAGTACAAACCATGCACGATAACTTTTACGTCTTCTTGTATGCTGTAACAATCCAGGGATATCCTTCCACCACCACCTCCACCCCAGCCCCTTCCACCTGCTGCACTCATGGTACCATATCCCTTCCTATGGAACCATAATATGATGCAAATGGTTAGTAAACTTATAAATAGAATTTTCAATTTCTACATTTATAATTTATAATCTAACTCCAACATCTGCAACCCCATACTACAAAGTTATATAACGGGCATATGGGCATTTTTCTATAATATTATCAACCAGCAGCAACCTTATCAATTATCAAAATAATTGCAGCATCTTAATAATCATAAAAGAGAAGATTTCCCAAAAGAAATTTATCTCATCATATTTGTACAAACAATTTGAAGTACCAAGACATTATCCAAAATGCAGAAGCACTAAAAGCATAAAATTTGTCTCCATAGACCAGATACACTTACAGCTTTATGGCTTTTATGGAGATACTTCCACCAGAGCCACCTCCCCCTTTTAGTCCTCCATCCCCACCTTCAGCAGTTACTGATCCATTTAGATAAAGCATGTCTTTCACTATAAGTTTAACACGTCCCCCACCATTTCCTCCAAATTGGTTTTGACCAGAGGTGCCACCACCCTTACTCCCGTAACTCCATGGATTGGACAAAGTTGACCAAGCATAAACATCACCTCCCCAATAGTTTGTCTTGTTATTTTTCAAACAGGAAGCTCCCCTGCCACCATGTCCTCCACCTGCTCCGTCATTGCCAACTGGTGTACCACTGGTTTGAGGAGGTGGAGAACCACCCAAGGATGTTGTGTCAATAGAAGAATTGTACTCCACAGTCAAATTGGCAGCAGCAATAGCTACTGAGCCAGCAATAATAGTCACATGTTGACCCAAATTAACACTGCCAGACATATTGAAGGTAATAGCACAACCATCTAGCGGACACTTGATTGAAACATGGGGCAGTATCTCCAAGTTTCCAGTACCATAAACTTCAAGATCAGAGTTCAAATACAAGTTTGAGTTTATCAAGCAAGTAGTATTAAAGGATCCAACACCTCCCAAGTCCTCACAAGACGAAAAATAACTTGATGGAGATAGAAGGATAAATGGGTCACTTCTAGAATCATTACTTAAAACTAATCTCGATTCAAACAAATGGTTCCCTAACTCAATTCCTCCACCTGTATACTGCTTCAAACTAAAGGAAAGAGCAGATGTATAAAGATGCACAAACACAACAAACCAGCAAACTCGCCTGTGCATCAGCAAACAATGCATTACCATCCACATTAGCTGACCATCACCTAATGGCTGCAAAGACCCAGCACTACACATGAATCTCAGCCTTAAACTCTTGCTATTCCATATTCTTATTAGCATAAGATCAACAGTATGTACCCCGCTCTGAATACATAACCATCTTCAGGGCCAGATGAACTGCAACTCAGAACACTCCCAACTCTAACCCTTAAACTGCCACCAAGGAAACATTATCAGCACAACCAGACTCTTACTGTAATAATATTTTATGACAATGACATTGCTTAAGATTAAGAACAAGAAGAAGCCAATCCATCAACAGATTCAATCTACACCCAAGAATGCAGATCACAAACTCAATTACTGTTCCAGCTTCAGTACCTCAAATCACTATAAAGCTTTTTTTATTTAAAAAAAAATAGAGCTAAGAAAAAATTCAAATTAAATTACAGAGCAAGCGATCTGTCGTTTCAGTTGCCAATTTCACAATTACTTAAAAAGATCAAACCAAAACACCAAAAGGAAGTTCATATACAAGACTGAAATTCGAATTCCAGAATAGAAAAAGAAAGAAAAAAAAAAAAAAACCAGAGATAGATAGAGAGAAAGAGAGAATACCGTTTGGAGAGAGGGAAAGTGAGTGGGAAAACGGAGGAAAATTGCAGTGAAGGTTCGTGGTGTGTTTTAACTTTGTCTAGGATACTTTGTTTTATTTTATTCTACTTTTTTCACTCACTCATATGAG